CTTACAACTTTTACCTCGGTTAAATTTCTTTTGTCTTTTGCGGCATTTACCAAAGTATCAGTTGGCGTTTACACACGGAAAATGTTTACCTAGGTAAGTCAACTCTGGTACCTCGGTAAACCGTTCAAGTCTAAACACAGCATAAGAAACGTTACTCGCAAAGTAATTAAATTAGTATCATTTCAAGGAAAACATAGTCTCCTAGTTGAGACATAACTACCGCAGAATTAAAGTGTCAGTCCGACCATTCCAGGGTTGGAATGGAGTTACAACGTTTTGCCTTCGTGTATTCAGCATTCTGTGTTCTGCTGTATTGTGAAGAAGTTTTTCTTAGGAGCATATAATGCCTGTCTCAACTTTATTTTTCTCACCCAGACTCTGTACCTGTTCGTGGCGCTGTTCGCTCCATCGCTGGCACCGGAAGCTGGTGAGTGAAGGGTAATGGGAGAGCAAATTACTGAACAACAAACACGTCGATAAATATATCGGTCCGTTGGGCTGGGGAATGCCTTTGAAGTTAGCTGGGTGTCCTGATAGCTCCCATGTCGGGAAGGAGCCCGGGACGAGGGAAGGGGAGTATTTCCTTATTTGGGTGATATATATATAGGTATGTGCGACTTGAAATAGGGTATCGTTTTTTGTCATATTGGTTTTTACACTCTAGTCTACTAATTGGGTATGTTTTTTAGAAGAAACTACTTTTTCATCATTATCAATAAGACCATCAACAAAAGCCCTTCACATCAACAAAAGCCTTTAAGATCAGTCTGAACAAGGGAACTAGTTATAAGCTAATGCAGGTCTGAAACAGGTTATTGATTCTGAACGGTCAGGTCCTAAATATATTGTTGGGTATCAATTTTTTGGTCACGTCATGATATAAAAAGGGTTATTTATAGGAAGCGGACCGCACACCCCCAGCCAATTTTTCTGGCAATATCCCGTGGGAGTTTCTGAAACACTTTTCCTTTGGATATCTGTCTGCGCTTTTCAACGCTTAAATTACTATAAACAGACGTTATACCAGTGTAGTTTTTTTGCTTGCTGCATTTGAAAATAATATCTTCTCGCTTTTCAATCGTATGCCATTAACTTGCTGGTCTTTCACCGCAGTTGCAGGCATCCCTCTGACAGTTTCTATCTTGGCCACTGGTGTGGTTTGCGTGTTTTATACATCTCTGGTACGTATAAGAGATATTTATTTAGCTAATGCCTTCGTGGGGTAAGCCTTAGTTTTGCTCCAGGACCAGAACGAATTCAAAAACTGAGGCAAAATGCAACCAGCGGGTACGTACCCTATTCATGGATTAAAATTACTGCAGATTCTTCGCGTATGCTACAAGGTTGAAGATTGAAATGGTTCAAAAATGCTAACCGTCATCAATTGACTGAAACACCTAAAACCAAACTCAGCAAAATGCATTCTGACCCCTCCAAGGAAGTACTCTAGGGGATATATCGAATCCAAGTGGTATCTGAATTGTTTGTTCTCCAGGGTGGCCTAAGAGCAGTGGTGTGGACAGACGTGTTTCAGTCGGTGATTATTCTGGCGGGTCTCATCATTATAGCTGTCGGAGGAGTAGTAGAAGTTGGCAGTCTGAGGGAAGTCTGGGATATTAACCAGAGGCACGGACGAATTAACTTTTTCGAGTAAGTATAAATTACTTCCCAAATCATGAGCTCCAGCTAAAGAGGGCACTATCACGAAGGTGATAACTTTGAAAAGTCAAATCCGAGTCTTTATTCATGAAATTATAATAATAATGGCGTATTTTTAGTCAGACATTACTAGTAACATAAGGGCACTGAAGTTATAAAGGGGGCTTATACTGAGTTACACTGGCACTAAAATGTGACATCACAGTGAAAACGTCTGGCAGATGACTTTTTCAGATTGCGTATACTGCATGTATCTATTCGAGGTTAGTGCTACACATAGTTGACATTCCCCAGCAACTGCTTCATAGCAAAATAAAGCGAACAAAATAGTTAACTGGATCGAGATTGAACCCTTCTTCTTGGAGAGGGAAGACGTCAAAAATGAGACGACGTCAAATTGTGGTAAAAACATCTAAATATTTGTACTTACCGCAATTTGACGTCATCTGTGATTTATTACTGGACAGACGCATGGCCGGCATGGAATCTACAGTCGATCTTCTATTAAGTGGAAACCTTCGGAGAAATAGGAGGTGAACTCAATTTAGGGGTTGGTTGCTTAAGAGAGGTTCGTCAAGAATGAGAATGAGGCTTATTTGTCGGGTACTGTTACTTAGTGAAGATGGAATCACGCTACGACTCGCATATCATGTATGAATATGGATTTCTATAATTAACGTTTCACTCTTTCTTTCTTCAGCTTTAACCCAGACCCCCGGGTTCGCAACACATTTTGGACAATTACCATAGGAGGGGCTCTCGGTGTACTTCCAATCTGGGCTATCGCTCAGATTTTTGTCCAACGGTATCTTGCAGTAAAGACGCTCAGAGATGCTAGAAGGTCAGGTTTAAACAACTTTCACCAAAAAGGCAAACATTTCTCACTGGTGTAAAATTTTTTATGTTGTTATTTAAGCACCCATTGTCACTGGAGGTGGATACCACCAGAATGAGTATGTGGATCATTTTTGCGATGTACAATTACTTTCAACAACAACAACAAGAAAATTACGTTTATTAAGGTAGAAAATCAATAACACCTGGATTGGCTTCCACAACAAAATTAAAGATCTTAATTACCAATATTCTGGGAAAGAATCAGTTTCCATCTAGTCTTGTGAACAGAACTGCCAAACAACACCTCAGCAAATTCTTTGCCTCCACTTTGCTCGCTTCCGCAGTAACTAGATCAAATGAAAGTCGCACGCACTATTACAAATTACCTTTTGTTGGCCCTTTCTCGAGTAACGTTCAAGACAGAATCAAGCGCTAAGCCGAACGCTATTGTAAGAACTTAAACATCAAGTTAGTGTTTGCTCCATACAAGATCGATCAGGAAATTATTTAGTGCCAAAGATGCCATATCTAAATTATCACGATCCTGTGTTGTTTACAAATTTCTTGCGCAGGCTGTAGCACCTCTTATGTCGGCGACTTGCTACACGTGTTCGTGAACATTTAACATCCGATAGAAACTCGCACATCTCTCAGCACATCAATGAGTCAGAAACATGCAAAGCTTTATGCTCAGAAAATTGCTTCTCAATCCTTGACACCGCCTCCACCTCATCTCAACTGAAAATCAAGGAGGCCTTATACATCTGGTGGGAAAAACCCTCATTAAACAAGCAAGTCATTCGTGTTAATTTAATACTTTCATTTTAATTTTCCGTGTTACACGACACATTGTTTTCTGACCATTGTATTTTCTAGTGCTTCATATTCATGTTGTTATTTATCGATTATTTAGTACTCGTGTATTCTATAAATGTTCGCTTTTACATGAGACCGACTAGCGGTTCATTTGTATTTAACTCAAGATGGATGTTGGTCATCCGAAACATGTTTTGCAAACTTAAAACTATGTGTTTTTATCTCAAAAAGAATGGAATACTTTAAACCAGTAACTCCCTTTTGCATGTTTCATAGAGCACTGTGGTTGAACTTCCCAGGCCTGTTTCTCGTGGTAACTATTTGCGTGCTGGACGGAATGGTGATATTTGCCACGTACGCCGATTGTGATCTGAAAGAACAAAGAAAGATCACAACGGGAGATCAGGTAGGAAATGGTGC